GGAACTAATGAACGGACAAAATATGCAGAGTAACGAAAAGCTCTTTATAGAAGACGATGACAAAATATTGAGATTTAGACTTTATAAAGACCGAAAAATAGCAAAAGCCGGGAGAAATCGAAATAGCGACAGAATCGGGGCTTATTTCAATTTAGAGCGTTGTTTTTAATTGTTTATTAAAATTATTGTATTAAATACGCGAAAAATTCTTGATTATACTCGACATTTATTAAGATTTTGTAATTTATTATGAACATAGTTTTTTAATACCTTCATTTATTCATTTATTAAATTAATTATTGTAAAGGTAGATACTTAAGTACGTCCGTCAACCATCGCAATATAATAAGCATATTATTATTTTCTTCTTTTTTTTTTATTGTCTAGATTGAAATAAGCCCCGATTACTCCTCGGAATCTTAAAATTAAATTTTTAAAATTTGGCCATCTCAAAAATAATAATTTTAGTTTCTGCCCAAAAATTTCGACTGACACCTTCCCGATTTGTTTAAAGGCGTATTTTGAACAGAAATCCACAAAGAAACCGAATTGGAACATTTTTCCTACGGGAGCGGTCTTACAACCTGGACTATTATGAAACATTACTGCAAATGAAAGAAGTTATTACTATTTACATTCACATGGATGTGAAAACAGGTTTTTAAAAATGTGTGATGTTAGCAAATAAATTCAAGGTAATGACTGAAAAAATATTAAAGGTACAACTCAACGTAAACGCTTAAAAATTGAAAAGTTTTTTGCATAGTACGAAGGATGACTATGATTAAGTCAAAATTATTATTAACTATTAAGTAATAAATACTAAGTAGCCTGCAATACGTAGGTGTAATACTAACAACGAATATAGATTGTTTGGTAATAACCACTGCAAAAATATGTGAAATTTTAGTACACTAATGCTCTTACTGATTTGTGACTAAAAGTCCAATCGATACATACAAATATCTATTTATAAATTGATAACTGGATTGACTTATTGAATTAATTTCATATTCCTTATCTGAACAATGTTCAGATAAGGAACAATTAGTTCATATATTAAGTGAACATATGAACTAATTGTTATGCTATAAGACAGGGTGCGACAAATCTCTGGCTTTCTTTGATTACGTTTAAACTATGGAGCATATAAAAAATGTTTCAACAAAGCTGACGTCGTCAGTGATGATTAAACTTGTTACCGATTGATACGAAATTAGTTTTTACGACTACTAGTCAAGATAGAATTTGAATGTTCTATTTTTGGTTTTTAGATAGAATATTGTTTTTGTTTTAAATAAAATTGCAGATACCTACGCTTTTTGCGATCTAATATTTTGAAAACAAAATGGAAATATGAATTTTTCTGAAAAAAGTTTATTTATTTTTTTATTGCAAATAAACAAATAACATAAGGATTACACATCGGTAATTGTAACAGAAAAATTAATGCTTAAAAAGAAAAATCAGAAAATATGTAATGAAATAAGCACAAGGCTAATTATGAGGTAACTGATCATAAAATAAATGGTAGTCCTGTTGTATACTTTTCTTCAGTTGTTGCAAATGCTCATATTTTTCTTTCGTAATGGAAATTCAACCTCTGTATAATGCAGGCAAAGAGTAAAAATCTAAAAATTTTGGATTTGCAGGTAATCTGATAGGGAAAGTTTTCCATTCCAATTCAGAATGTCTAATTTTGTAAAATATATTTTTGTTTGTATATTTATTTTGCCTAAATCATGCAATAAGTACTCTATTCTGTAGGGATTTTTCAAAAATGCTTTTTTGCATATTATTGCATAGTCAGCAGGTACATTTATTCTGGATTTCGAATCAATCTTTCTATCGTAGAATGCATGCTATCTGCCTCCATCTGGGTATGACACCTTTCTGGAGATACTTTTGTATTATAGTTACATATTTTTTATTGCTAAGTTGAAGAGGGCGTTTGCTAACACATAATTTCTGTTTTAAGCAGCGCAACGTTCGCTATACAAAATATAATTATTTTTTTTATCACGAGGATTGGCTTCGACTTTCTTTTTGAGGAAATTTACTATTATGGTTACAAACTCATTAGCTGTTACTCGACCCTCTGTTTCATTCCACAAAAAACATTCACCTTGCTGACGTTTTAGATCGTAAATCGTGAAATTATGTACGATAAGTTTTGTTTTGTAATAGATAGAGCTCACATTGGACTTGGACAGTAGCACACTTCATTATCTGATTTTTTGTTAGTATCCTTTTCTTGACGTGCTGCGTTTTTCAGCAGAATGGGAAAATTGTACTCATCTTGCGAAATATTCTTTGTGTCAAAAGCTACACAAACATTGCACTTGTCCTTTTTAGGCTGGTATAAAGATAAATTTTGCTGATCGAAAATTATGGAAAAGGTGACTCTTGACATGGATTTTATATTATTTTCCCCACAAAAATCTTTCCAGTAAGCTTTATATAAGTGTGCTTTTGATTGCCGTACTGTTTCCAAGTATAACTTTGAACTATTTGCCCTGCAATAATGGGACTCAAATTTGGGTAATTTGTCGAAAAACTTTGTTAAGTTTTTTTATTGCTTCTCCGCTTTTCGTCTGCTTTTAAACTTGCTTATTATCTGTAACTGTATCCTCGTAGGGGACGAGAGAGAATAAAAAAATAAGATATATAAAAAATTTACAGCGAAATTACACTTTATTATTTCTCAGTAATAAAAAGAAACATTAAAAGTTATGTTATTTCCAAAGGATACTAAAATACCATTTCATAATTACATTACTATAAACAAAGCAACTTTCTATCTTTTTAAATCAAGAATTGGTTGATAAAAACAAATGAATTTATATATTATTCCCAAATTTCGAAATTCGTTTACATTTAAAATATTATAGTAGTTATTTATTAACTAGGCATAATAGAATAATATTTAAAGCTATAATAGTCTTTAAACAAAATTTAAAACACTGCTATATTTTCTTTCTCTGAGTCCATAATTATTCTCGCTTTCTCGATAGGGTATAATAAAAAAAGAAAAGGTACAACCTTAATCGTCCATTAGCTGGCAACCATACACAAAGGATATGTTCTGCTTCCTCTCAACCTCCAAGCATTTCGTTAAATTAGTTATTAGGGGTCCATTTTTTTAGATCATAAGGGATTATTGGGCTGCGTTTACGACAGCATAAGACTTCTCAGTTAACTTCGAGTCAAATAAACATAATTAATGATCTTTTATTGTCCCCGGTAAAAGAAGGTCTAAAAATAATTATTTATCTGAAAATATAACAAAAAAAGGCCTTTTTTCTTTGGCTTACCTCCATATAGAGACCACTTCACAAAAACACGTCCTAACAGTTGGATGTTTGTAAGAGAAAAGAGACAGACGCTATCATTTCCCGGTTTGAATTGGGGCGTGATTGACAAGTTAATAATCGTTCTCATCTATCGGATAGGTTTAGAATTACAGTAGAGATCTTGAGTCGGCTACCAGTATCCGGCAGATAGATGGGGTTAACAGTTTATTAAAAAAAAATAATCGAATTTAAAATGAATTTCCTAAAACTTTTGAAACGGTTACAACTCGTATTCACTTTATCTATGTCTACCGAACATAGACAATTAACTGAGAACATTGTGCTATGTCTGTACTCTCATCAACTACCTGGTTTTGTATGTCTTCGGCCATATCAGCAATGCGACGTTTCACAGTATTGTCAGAAAGAGGTATTTGAGATAACTTTTGCTTACTCTGCGTTCCAAGAATAATATCAGCTGCTTTTAACAAACACGGTTTAACAAGCGTCTCCCAATAATATGGCTCTTCTTTTCTTTAGCAATCCGAAGTGATAGCTCATATGAAGCTTCAAGCACTTTTTCAGATGACTTAGTGATAGAACCATACTATCCAACTTCATGCGTTTTAAATTTTCAGATTTTGTATCAAAAAATTCCTTTGGTTTATCCTTAAAAGTTATGTTTGGATGACAAATGTCTTTCAAGACGATTAGGTCTCATTCCATCGTTGCTTAATACTTCATAGCAAATTACACACTAAGGATGTTTGACATTATCTTTACGCATACAAATAAACCCATATTTGATATAATCATCATTATACTTGCGTTTCTTTGCTGAGCTCATCTTGACTACAGTAACTTCTCTCACTCAAATCAACGAAATCAATGAAAGTCAACTAAGACAAGTAAAATTTCACAACACGTACGCAGCAGCAAAGAAACGCAAGTAGTGCAGCAGGTGCAGCAGGGTCGAGGTATCTCAAAACACTGAGTCAGAGAACTAGTTCTCTGACTTAGTCACAATTGATTAGCTGTGGTTAGCTGGCCTGAGTTTGGTGTTGGGAGGGAAGGAGGGAGGCATTGCTTGGAAACGCCCGGGCAGTTTGGGAAGATAATGAATGCAAATTTTTGAGTTGGTAATTTAATTGTCTCACCTCATTATTAACCCATTTATTACATTTGGTCTAAACTTTTTATTTATAATAGAGAATTTTATATCAAAATAATACATAAAAATATTTACAAAAGTATTAAAAGCAATATTTGTGTCTAAAATACCCTACATTTGATTCCAGTCCTCTCTGGAGATATCATTTATAAATTTATTTCTAGTAAGTAATAATTATTACATTTTTTTTAAGAAACCACTTGACTCACCTGTCCCAAAATCAAAATCAGTCAATACTGTTCGATGATCGGACACATTATTATCGTTGACAAGTTAAAATAACAGTATTTTTTATCTTCTTTTGCATATATTTTAAAATAACAATATTATTAATATTACAACAATCATAATCAGAACTTAGTTAAATTAAGAGTTTTTGTATTCATCATTGTATATAAACAGTGTTTCAAAACTAAAAAAACTTAAAATTTTACCATAATTATGACGGTTTACTAGGCCGGCTATCTTAAATATGGCTTTTTAATGTTAATGTTATTGTATGTACTCTAAAAATACATAATCTTCCTTTTTTTAAGGTTCCTACCAACCCAGTAATGAATTGATGCTTAGATTTTACGCATATTTTAAACAAGCAACAAACGGAACATGCGCAGGATCGCGCCCCGCTTTTTGGGATATTGTAGGAAGAGCAAAGTATGACGCTTGGAAGAGCCTTGGCGATATGCCTAAGCAAGAGGCAATGACAAAATATGTCGATGAATTACATTCGTAAGTAACAAAACTGTTAATTGCAATAAAATGTCATTGACCCTCTGATAACATGTTTAATCTTGACAAAGATTGTAAATATTTACAATTTTTAATATTTAAAATGTTTAACAACCTTATTTATTTTCCAAAATGGCTAACTTTAAATAATACATTTTCGCATGTACTCATGCAAAGCAATTCCCACAAATAAGAGTCTTTTTTTGCTTGAACGAATTTCGCCTATGTTGTATTGTGGTCATAGAGTGTCACGTTTCATCGATGGTCCAATAGGTTTTACCAGTAATGTTAAATCACTCCAATTTTCTTTACATTAATGCCAAAGTCATGTTTTCTGCCTGATTATTAAATAGTTCGAAGCGTTTTTCTCCCATGAAGTTAGTGATGTACGCAGGACGTCCTGTCCTGCACTGGACGGGACGAGGGACCGGACAGCGATTTTTCTGCGGGACGGCAGGATGCTTTGTCCCGCGGGACGTCCAGCATGTCCCGCAAAAACTGTACTATTATTATTATCGGAATGATTTGGTAATTAGAGTTATACAAGTAAGTATCTGCATTATGTTGCAACGTAAAAATATTTATAGAAATTAAAAGGTTTTCTGTTTTAATAATTCATATTCAGTGGCGGACTAAGGCTAAATCGGGCCTTAAGCAACATTGTAATTCCGGGCCTATTTTTTAGTCATGACACATATTTTGCTTTAGGTAGTTTGGTTTTAAGGCATATAGTTTGTAGCTTAATTATCGGATTCAAAGCGAAAATTGGAATGGTTAAATAAATTCTCAGTATTGTGTTTAAATTTGGAAATGTGGCAATAATATTATCTGCTGGGTTTTAAATCTTGTTCACATTTTATTCCTCTATTAAAGAGTCACTAACATCACTATCATGAATATTGTTTTAAATTTAATGTTAATCACAGTTTCCATGTTTTGACAATTTTACATTTTCCAAATCATTCGTCAATAGTTAATTTTCTTGTTATTTGTTTTGCCCTATGTTACATCGAGTAGAAGATGATTCCAAAGATTCATTTATTGATTTTAGTGGATTTTTTGTATAATACTCTCGCATGGCTCTGTTAAGTCTTTTTCTTAAAGTTGCATCTCCTATCGGAGATTGGATATCATAACGGCTATGGTCACTTTGTTGGCTGCTGCTCTGAAAAGTTGTAGTGAACTACAGTTAAACCATTCTCTAAGGTTTCTCAGCCAGGAGATGCGTCTTCTTCCTATGCTTCTTCTTCCTTGGATCCTTCCTTGCATAATAATTCTCAGCAGCTCATATTTTACTCCTCTGGTTATTTGACCCAAATACTCTAGTTTTCTTCTTTTTATGCTGTTCATAATTTCTAACTCCTTATTTAGACGTCGTAGTTCCTCAGCATTGGTAATCCTTTGAACCCACTAAATTTTAAATATTCTTCTGTAACACCAAATTTCGAACGCTTCTATTTTTCTTCTGTGTTGTTTCTTCAATGTCCAAGCTTCCATTCCGTATAGTAAGATAGAAAATATGTAACATCTTAGAGCCCTCAATCTGAGTTGCAACTGAAGGTCTCTGTTGGTAAGCATTGTCTTTATTTTCACAAATGATTTCCTTGCAGTTTCAATTCGGACTTTGATTTCTCTGCTTTGGTCATTTTTGTCATCAATCCAGGTTCCCAGATATTTGTATGTCTCTACTTTTTCTATTTGGGTTTGCTCTATCATTAATCTTTTATTTCCATGTTGCGTTTTTGAGACAATCATAAATTTAGTTTTTCTCTTATTTATTTTTAGTCCGTATCTAATGCAATGATCATTAATTCTATTTACCAATTCTTGTAGCGATTCCAGGGTGTCTGCCATTATAATGGTGTCATCAGCTAATCTTATGTTATTTACTATTCTTCCATTTACAGAGATTCCACCACCCAGATCCGCTATCGCTTCCTGGAATAAGGCTTCACTGTACACGTTAAACAGTATTGGTGACAGAACACAGAGCTGTCTTACTCCTCTCTTTATATCTATATGACTTTTTCCGTGACTATTGTTGTCTAGTACTTCTATTAGTTTTTCATGTCGGACCCTGTCGAATGCCTTCTCGAAGTCGATGAAACAGGAATAAATATCTAGGTTCATATCTAAGCATCTTTGAATTAAAATTAAAAGCAAACAATGCCTCTCTCGTTCCCAATCCCTTGCGGAACCCAAACTGAGTAACATCCATATCATCTTCTAGTTTTTTTTCTTGTATAAAAGTATCTTGATACTTTTCGTTTTATTTTTTAACACCACTTAAATTTTTATAGGAACCCATTTTAAAGACTAAAAAGAAAAAAGAAAATGATCTTAAATTAAATTTATTTTACTTAATATCACAATTACAATTTATGGTATTTTATGGCATATATTATTTTAATTAAATAATGTAATACTTTTATAAAAACTTGCATTTGTTTTAATAATTCTAAGATATTAATTAGTATAATTACCTTTTAGGCGGTGTTTTTATTAGATGCCTTAGATGTCTTTTTGCAGGACTGCCTTTATTATTTGATTTCTTCGCTTTGGTTGGTGTTTTTACTTTGGCCTCTGCGGAAGTCGGAACTGGGGATGAAAATCCGCAGTTTTAGGAGCTGACTTCTTTTCAACTTTCTTCGCCTTGGCCAGCTCTTTCTCTGTCTTTGATGGTGCTTCTTTAGCCTTAGTCACTTTCTTTACAGATGTTGCCTTTTTGCTGGTAGCAGACCGTTTGGTGGCGGTGGCAGTTTTTTTTCGGTTTAGTTGTTCCTCCAACTTTCATTTTTTTCATGAACTAGACTTTGTAGATCCAGAACACGATGAAATAGACTTTTTCCTTTTTTTACACCAATGGTCCAGTTGCAACTGCAGCTTTTAAATAGTTTTTGATGAACGGTGCAACTTTTTCCGCATTTACTTTGTAATTTTGCAGCGCTATATTTCTTAGTAGCTTGAAGATAAGGTTCACCTCTTTTTGGATTTTTTGCCTTTTTTCATTTTTGAATAGTGAAGGTGTTTGTGGCGTTCCAGATTCCGACTTAGTCGAAGTGACTGATGTTTGGTTTTCTATATTTAGGAATTTCAATAAGTATTAATTATGAATTCAAAACAATCTATTTGCAATCTAGTCTAATACTTAAGTCTTAATAGCACAAGTTTTAATCAGATACTCACATAGGATACAATACGTAACGTTCAGGAGACTGGTTTAAATAGCCACATTTGACTTTTTAAACACGATAGGCGCAGAGACTATCGTATTTATACACGTCGACATCTACACTTGCGGGTGTGTATCAGTAAGAACGCACGTCCACACTTGTAGAGTTTATCAAACAACAATTCGGCATAATTTATTATAAAAAATAAAAACCTTATTTTCGGGCTCCAAAAATTCCGGGTCCTAGGCACGTGCCTAGGTTGCCTAGGCCTTAGTCCGCCCCTGTTCATATTCATAAAACATAATTAATACATTTAGAATAACACAACATTTTAAAATGCTTTCGACAATTTCTTTTGATTTATTGTGAAGCACGCCTGGTATATAAAAAAAATGTTTTGATTTAGGTCCTCATGATAAACCGTCTCCCGACATTACGGCGACACCACGAGATGATGATACCTTTGAATTTAACAGTGAATGTGATAAATAAAAAGAATTTTTTTTCCTACTTTCATCTGTGTCAGTAATTTAAAATTAATACCATTCAGAATCCAAAAAACAGAATGGGATTTACTAAAACCAATAGCAGGTTTCGTCAAAAACTGCAAGACAGTTACAAATTTAGAAGGAGAAAAGTATATCACGCTTTCCAGTGTGGTCATGTAAATAAATTTATTACTCGACTACCTCGACAAAAAAAATATTAGAAATTAATATTGACCAAAACAATGACGTGGAATTCAATTTGAAAAACTCTTTTATAGCAGCAGGAAATAAGATTATCAAATACTACAGTAAAACAAATTGGGTGTACTTTAGTGTATTTCTTTAGTAATCGATCCCCGCCACAGATGGAATAGCTTCGATTTATTTATGGGGCCATTCCTCTAGACAAGAAAGAGAGACAAAACTTAGAGAATTATATAAAAAATATGAAAAAAGAGCGTAAAGCTGGAAACAACAAGGAAGTTGGATCTTTTTCTGGGTCCTCTAGTAACGAGCACGATCTCCAAATGCTGTCACTGTACAAGAAAATGGTGCGCATTGATGACGAACTGATCAATTCCAGCTACATCCGTCCCAGTAGAAAGGCTCTTCTCAAGAACCGAATTGGCTCAGCGAGGATTCAGTAGCATACAAGAATTAATATTAAATAAATACTATTACAACCTGTTTTACGGGTTGAACCGCGTCGATTATCATTGTGCCGAGCTTTCAACCTCCTCTTTGATGTCTTTTTTTGTGCTTCCGATGCCTTAGTCTCACAAGTCCCGAGACACTAGTACACTGATCCCTAACCAATGCATTGCTGCTACTGTGAACCGAGGACGGTTCATTCACATTCGATGGTGACGTGGTTTGGTGTAGGTTGGCGAGGGGGTTAGCGTGGGGATTGGCACGGGGATTGGCGCGGAGGCTGGCGCGAATATTTCTGATAGTAGTATTTTGATTGACGGATGGAGCGGATGACATTTTCTTTGCGAGAGGTTTCCATGCCGAAGGTAATTGTATGCCGTCATCTCTTTTATTGAGACAATTTGACCTTTTTTCAATTTGTATGGCTTCTTGGATAATTCTTTTTTTATAGAAGCGACGGTGCTATGGTTCTGGAGTTTTTAAAATTAATTTTATAACTTTATGAAGATGGTGTTGACCTAGACCTGAAATTGAATTGGAATTGCGAACAGAAATGGAATGTCCATAAATTCTATGTTGGATTTTACGATTTGTTTGGCCTATATAGAATCTGGGCAGTCTGCACAAGGAATTTCATAAACTCCATGTTGTTCATTTGGAATGTTGTCTTTGATTGATCGAACAAGAGATGAAAGTTTTTGTTGAGACGTAAAGAAGAAAAGCTTTCGTATGATGAGTGTCTGAGTTTTTGGGTTGAGATTGAGTGGGAGATTGATGTCTGTGAATGCTCCTATTGATGTTTTTTTCACGTTAACCGCTTTGGACGAGGGCTTTTAAACTAGATAGTTTAAGCTAGATTTAAACTAGATAGTTTAGCGGGTCTACTTGCACCATCGCAAAGGCGTTTTGATCTGGAGACAAATATATTAATGACTGAATTAATTTGTGAAGGTGGATGCTGAGAGTTGGCATGCAAGTAACGATTGGTATGGGTGGATTTTCGATAAACAGAGTAATGAAAACCTTGGGATTGCATCAGTTTCTACCTCCCTCTTGAACGGGATACTACGATGTATACCATTCAGTTGAGTTTGAAGAGACATCAAAGCATTCCTGCCATGTTGTTAAATGACGAATGTATCTTCAACATATCGTAGCCAACATGTGTGTTTGAACAATCTATATAGTGCTTGAGTCTCAAAGTCTTCCATAAAGATATTGGCAATTACTGGAGATAGTGAAGAGCCCATTGGGTCACCATTTATTTGTCTCTAGAATTGATTTTGGAAGATCAAATAAGTGTTGGACATACAATGTTTAATGAGAGATAAGTGGTCTTGCTGGATACTGTATTTAGTTTTTAGAATGTTTATTCCCTATCCTGACAATTGAAATATGTGCAGTCAATATTGATTTGCTTTAATAAATAACCTATACTTTACAAAACGTATGAAATGAACAAGAACAAATTTATAAATTTAATTAGTTTTTTTAGTATTTTAATTAAATTTTCATAAATCACTTAACTTTTTCTTTTAATTCCAAAATTTACCCGGATACTCTCTTGTCAATTCGCTAGCTAACTCCTCCCTTGGATCTACTCCCCAAACCGAATCGCCATATCACGTCCTAACCAAAGTTCCTATCATGTCTTGGATTGTAGTCCAAGCTTCTCTAGATGCAATGCAATGATAATTTATAGGTAGGTACTTACAAATGCAGTTCAGATTAACTTCTGCACTGCTGCCATTTAGCATACATGGAATCGATCCTGCTACCACTTTTCCAAATACTTTCAAAAACAAATTTTACTTTTTTATTCACACAACTTAATTTTTTTCTACCGTTCAGATCTACCGGCATTCATTCTCTTTTTAACTTCAGATGTTACCCTTTTTAAGAATAGAAAAATACTGTCTTTTCCTCTGCTTTCAAAATCCTATAAAACATACAACTTCTCCCCTTTCGATTTTCAACCGATGATCTTTTAATATTGTTCTGAAGCTATTTTCTTGTGGCATTTTAAATTAATTACTATTTAAGTACGTTTATGGACATTTTAATTTCCACTTCGGAAATCGTTCTATAATAGAATTTATATTTATATTATATATATCGTTCGTATATATATATATATATATATATATATATATATATATATATATATATATATATATATATATATAATAGAACGATTTCCGAAGTGGAAATTGAAACGTCAATAAACGTACTTTAAACCTTTAATTGTGGCTTATTCCCAGTTAAATAGTAATTGATCTTTTAATATTTCAAATAATCACACAGAATTCCCAGTTTCTACGAAATTTATCAATATTTTCTTGTTTTTGACCCACACCCTACAATAGAATCTGCATATATTAAATTTCTAGACTTTCCTATGTTTGACAAGACAATAGCCAAATATGGTTAATCGCTGTTCAAAGCGATAAAAGCAATACAAGCGTTGTATTGTCTACTTGCCGATCTTGTCAAATTCCCATTTTTTATTTTCTTTTTGAGGTCTTAAAACTCTCGTGATGAATGGTGTAGTAGACTTTACTTTTCGTCTTTCTCCGATTAGTAATACGGTATTAGAGCTGAGCTTCGAATTTATTGTAACTTTCGTTCGTGAGCCTATCTTTTTAACCAAAGTCTTTAGGTCCTTTATTATTTTTTCTGTTGTCTAATTTATTTCCATCTGCTCCATTTTTTCTGTTGCGCTAAGTCTGTGTGAAGATACTGTGACCAATCAAAAATTAATTATATTTGATTCCGAATAGCTGTACTTGCCCAAGTGTTATTAATATTTTTTCAGAAAAAAAAAACAATTTTAAAGCATCTCGGAAAAATTCATTCGTAATATTAAAACTTGGTTCAGAGCAAACAGAAAAGAATGTGGTTTTTTACTTGAGATCTTTTCCTTATCTAATTTTTTTTACTTTTATTTTAGTTCATCAGTTTATTCATGATTAGTTATCGTAAATTTTTAAAATATTCTTATTTCAGGATAGTAGAAACTATGAGCTATTCAGATAAGGTAGCTAATTTCCTAGAAGCTCCTACCAATGAATTAGATGCAATAAATTTTGACGACTTGGAGTTAATTGCTGGAGATGTTATCGAAAGAGTTAGATCACAACCTAATTCACCTTTAGGTAAGCTAAAGTTATTTATGTGACATAAATTTTCTGAATTGTTTCAAGTAATTTTCTTGTCGCATAAAAAATGCCATATTAAAAGAACATAAAAACGTGCATAACGGATTAAATGGTAATAATTTGCAATACGTTATAAGAATATAAATCGTATTAGTAGTGTCACAATTCAAAATATTAATTTGCAGCTTTTTATATTAGCAGCTAATTAAAAGATCTAATGAGATTCAGCGTCCTAGCGGAATTATTCACTACAGCGGCAATAGTATAGAATAACAGCATAAAGTTTTTATTACTATAGGTACTTACTACAGCTAATTAATGAACAATTATCTCTACACAATTAGTATTGGGTGTACAAAGTCTCGTGTATATATCTTTGTCTTACGCAAAATACTATACGGGGTATACTTCTTCTTCTAGTTCCATGACCGTTATCGATCGTTGGATATCATGTTGGCTACCATATTCGCTATCGTGATTTTATTGACAGCAGCTCTAAATAACGATGTAGTTGATTTTCCATACCATTGCCTTAGATTTTTTAGCCATGATGTTCTTCTTCTACCAGGACCACGATTACCTTGGATCTTTCCCTGAATGATCAGATGTAAAAGATCATATTTTTCAGGGTGTCTCATAATATGACCGAAGTATTCCAGCTTGCGTTTCTTTATTATATTGACCAGTTGTGTTGTTTGGTTCAGCCGTCTAAGGACCTCCTCATTTCTAACTCTGTCGACCCAGCTTATTTTCAGTAGTCGTCTGTATACCCACATCTCAAAGGCTGTCAAGCGTTTAAGCATAGCTTCAGTTAGGGTCCACGCTTCTACTCCATACAGCAGGACAGGAAAGATGTAGCAAGATATCATACGAACTCTAAGGTCAATGCTAAGATCATGACTGCAAAGTACGTTTCTCATTTTTACAAAGGCAGCTCGGGCTTGTTCTATTCGGCTTTTAATTTCTGCGGTTGGATCCCAGCTCTCATTGATATTACTGCCGAGATACACGAGTTTCTCTACTCTGTCCAGTGTGGCATCTCCGACTTTTATACCGTCATCATGTATATAATTTTGTTTGCTAACTATCATATATTTAGTTTTCTTAACGTTGAGTTTTAATCCATACTGATCACAAGTCTGTTTTATTTTGTTCATTAGATTTTGAAGGTCTTCTCCGCAATTGGCAAGGACTAAGGTATCGTCGGCATATCTAATATTGTTGACGGTTACTCCATTCACAATAATACCTTCGGTTGTCTCCATTAAGGCTTCCTTAAATATTTCCTCCGAATATAAGTTAAAAAGTAAAGGCGACAATATACAGCCTTGTCTCACTCCTCTTTTTATATTTATTTCATCCGACAGTTCTTGTTCAACCTTTATTCTTGCCACTTGATGCCAGTATAGATTTGTAATTATTCGTAGATCTTTATCGTCCAATCCAGCTGTTTCCAATATTTCTAGCATTTTGTTATGTCGGACTTTGTCAAAAGCTTTTTCAAAATCGATTGCACAAATATACACATTTTGATTTATATCTCTGCATCTCTGTACTAGCACCTGTATACTAAACAAGGCTTCTCTTGTACCCAAGCCACTCCTAAACCCAAATTGAGTATTGCTAATTCTGTCCTCTAACAGCGTATAAATTCTGCTGTGTATTACTCGCAGAAAGATTTTCAAAACGTGACTCATCAGACTTATTGTCCGATAATCACCGCATGTCTTTGGACGATGTTTCTTAGGTATTGTGACAAATGTCGACTTTAACCAATCAGTTGGTAATATCCCAGTGTCATAAATTCTGTTAAAGAGATTACACAGAGCTTTAATTCCATTTTCTCCCAAAAACTTTAGTATTTCAGCACTTACTTCATCGGGGCCAAGTGCTTTTCCATTTTTTGCCGTTTGTATTGAACGTCTTACCTCACTTTCTGTTATAGATGGACCTGATATAGCAATCGGTGTATAGTGTTCTACTCTCTCATCTTCAAATAATTCAGAAATGTAGTTTTCCCATTCTTTTAACTTTTCATTGATGTCTAATATTCTGTGTCCGTTTCTGTCTTCTAAACTTTGGGATACTTGTTTCCATTTGTTTCCAGCGACCTCTTTCAATTTCTTGTGCAGATGAAATGTATCGTGTTTCTTTTCATATTGTTCAATTTCATTACATTCTTTACTATGAAATTGTGTTTTCGCGTGTCTTATCTTCTGCCTGATTATTGCGTGGATCCTCTTGTATTCGTTTTTATCTTTATTTCTGACTTCTCTTCTTTGATCCATAAGTCTCAGTATTTCTTCTGTCATCCACCCTTGTTTTTTTCTTGCTTTTAGCGCACTCAATTTTGTTTCTTGAACAGTCTTTAAGATGTCTTTAATTCTCGTCCAGTTTTCCTCAGTACTTTCTTCTTTGCTTGATGTTAAATTCATCTTTTGTTCTAATATACTAGTTATTTCTTGTTTTACAGTATCATTTCGCATCGTTTCTCTATCAATAGTAACTGTTTGCTTATTCGTCCTTGCAACTCTTTTTAATCTCAGTCTTATTTTTCCTACTAAAATATTGTGATCTGTTGGTACATCTGCCCCTGGATATGTTTTTACTGATAATACTGAATTTCTGTATCTCTTATTTATACATATGAAGTCTATTTGGTTACGAAAAACTCGTTCAGGTGTATCTGCTGGTGATTTCCAGGTGTAAAGACGACGTTTTGGAAGTTTGAAAATTGTGTTCATTATTACTAATTGCTTTTCTACTCAAAAAGATGCCAACATATCTCCTCTTTCATTTCGTATTCCCAGACCATATTTCCCTATGACATCTTCCTGTTCACCTTCACCAATCTTTGCATTAAAATCTCCCATGATAATATTGAGATCGTGTTTCTTTGTATGTGCTAATACTTTTTCTAAATCTTGATAGAATTTTTCAATTTCTTCTTGTTCATAGTGTTGTGTGGGTGCATATACTTGTAATATGTTCACATTGATTGTTGTTGATTGTATTTGTATCATCAGTATCCTGTCTGAGAATAGGACGACGTTTTTTACGGGGTATACTAAAAAAGTTTATCGTTTATTTTTCTCGAAAAAAATGTTATTTCATCAATATATATTTTGTTACCTTCAAGGTGATCTCCATTAGATATAATGAACTTGTACTAGGAAGATAATTCATCATCATCTTTGGCTCGACAATCTTCTGTGGATCTTGGCCTGCTCTAAGATTCGTCGCCATTCTGTTCGGTTTTTGGCAACATGTTGCCATCTTCTGATTTTTAATATTCGTAAGTCGGTTTCCACTCTATCTAACCACCTAATTCGCGGTCGGCCTTTGCTTCTTTTTCTTACAGGTGTTCCTGTGGTTAGCTTTTTAGCAATCGTATTTTCTGGCATTCGTATTATGTGTCCAGCCCATCTAAGTCGCTGTGTTTTAATGAACGTTATGATATCTGGCTCATCAAAGAGCTGATACAATTCAAAATTATATCTTCTGCGCCACTGCCCTTGGTCGTTTACAGCTCCAAATATTTTGCGGAATATTTTACGCTCAAATATTCCCAAAAGTCTTTCATCTTTCTGCGTTAGAGTCCATGTTTCTGCTCCATATGTGAGGACCGGCCTCAGCAATGTTTTGTATATAATAATTTTAGTCCTTCTTTGAATGTTTCTTGAGTGGAAATGCTTTTGGAGTCCATAGTATGAACTATTGGTAAGATTTATTCGTCTTTTGATTTCTTCGCTTGTTTTATTGGTAGCAGTCAATAGCGACCCAAGGTATGTGAAGTTGTCAACACGTCCAAAGGTATGACTTCCAAAGACTGTTTCTCGTTCCTCATTTGCTATCGGATCCTTTGTAACCAACATGTACTTGGTTTTGTCTTCGTTGATGACTAGACCGACCTGTTTCCAATTCTAGGAGATATTGCTCAACAAGAGAGAGAAGTAAAAGAAACCATAAGGAAATTAAAAAATAGAAAATCATACATAAGGCAGAATTCGAAAGAACTCCTTAAGTACGGAGGACTAAATCTGATCAAGTAACTATTAAAATTAATCCAAAAACAATAATAGAACAAAACAGACCAACGCAAGAATGGATATCAAGCATCCTAATACCGTTCTTTAAGAAGCCTAATAAAGCAGACCTATTAAACACAACACTAAAATTAATAACCAAATTTACAACAAATAAACTGAATAAAATTATCAGAAAAACAACAAAGTTTTAGATCGGAAAGATCATGTACTTACAAGCGGTATATTTATAATGGGGCAACTACAAGGGAAATCATTAGAACACAACAAAACAGCTTGTTTCATGGACCTAAGGAGTGTATTTGACAGGGTCAAATTAAAGGACGTTATCCACTTATTGTTCGCAAGAGAGATATCTCTAAGAATAATCAAAACTATCGAAAATATATACCAGAACAACACAATAAAATTAAAAGTACAAGAATAACTAATTGAGCCAACTGAGGCTCACAATAAGACAGGCGGATTCTCTGAGCTCTCTACTGTTCGGTATGATGTTGGATGAAATAATAAAAAGGCTATCAAATGGGAGAAAAACAAGTTAAAATAATCTGCTATCCAGACGAAGCAATACTAACCTCTCAACGTGAAGATACTTTACAATGTATCCTTCACCAATTTAATATAACTGCCAGATAATTTAACGTGATAATTTCACCAAAAAAGATCAAATACGTGGTAATAGCAAATCTACTAAGATGTAAATTGTAGATGAAGTCATGGACTTTAAATATCAGGGCATCACACTGTAGTTACGGAAAGCTCGAAACAGAAGTAGAAAACAAGTGAATAGACAAAACAGAGCCGCAGGATGCCTGAATAAATCAATATGAAGAAATAACAATATTGTAAAAGACATGAAAGGCAGAATTTACAAAACAGTTATCAGACCATTAATACCATAGGCGGTAGAAACACGAACCGACAGAAAGAACAAAAAGAAAGGCTAGA